GATCCCCAAAATGGGGGAGCGTTGCTCCTTTTGTCTTGTCGATTTGTTCTTTTATTTTTTTCCTTCCTCGGCATAAGGGGGTGTACGAAAAACAAACAAACAAACAAAAAAAAACCAAACAGGGCGGCAGCAGCAGCGTGTAGGACAAAACTATTTTTAAGTAAGAATCCCACTCCTTGTGCATTTAACACGCTCACATAATCTACTACAAGAAGTTAACACTTCTCAGTCCTTTTAAATACTGAAGTATTAGCCAAGGAGCTCCAACATCCTACCTTCCTCACCAGTGGTTTGGTTATCCCTCTCTGCTACAATTTGTGACTATCAAATCAACAAAAAATAATAAAGAATGTAACTTCAGCATTCATCACATGAGCTGTGCTGCAGTGCCCATCTCCTTATAGGCAAATCCTACTTCAAAATAAGAAAAACAAACACTATTTCTGACTTCTGAAGTTCTCCTGACATTTCTTGATTACATTTCCCTAGAGTTTGGCCCAAAAGACAACTTAATTAGCATAAAGACCTTAGAGAAAAAATGTCTTTATTATTAACCAGGTTTTTTTGCACTGGATTATGTGCCTATTGGCCCAGTCTGCTAAATAACATCTACACAATGTTTCTTTCATGTTTCAAGAATTGAAAATAACTGTACAAGGTTAAAGTACAAAAGTACACAAGACAGTGGACACCAAATATCCATGTATGAGCTTCTCCCATCTGCTGCTTGGTTTGAAAAGTAGAACTTTTAACTAAAAAATACTGTCCTTCTATAGCTCTGTCAAGTTTAATGGAAGTGGGTATAACCTGATTACAACACTAACACCAGTATCACTTATCTGATATTTACAAAAAAAATTGTATTTTTCAATAAATTAAAGTCAATGCAACACCCATGCAAGCTAGAATGCTAGCTTTTTGGTGAACAAGGGCCCAACATTTGAACAAGAACCTTCCATAGTCCCAAACTTTAAAACCGCCATTTTTTTCCTTTTCAAACTGCATCCATTCCTCGCATTGAAGATGTAAAACCCAACCCCATTCCTCTTTGTGTATGAGTCTGTGATCTTGCCATTTCATACTGTGCATCTAGATTTCTGAAAACCTCTTCCTGTTGCTTCAGCGTTTTGTAACTCTCTTCATCCACTGAGCTGCAGCCAGCTTCATCCTCGCTCTAGAAAGCAGAGAGAAAAAAAACTTCAGTGGTGTTTTCATACACCAAGGTGTCTTAAAGGTAACAATTTTTCTTTGTTCTTTCCCAAAGCAAGTTAGAATTCAAGCATTTGGCTTTACTGCTGAAACATTCCAGGGTAGCTTCCCCCTTACAGTCAAGAAACAGGTTGAGGTTGAGGCCTTTTCTATCCAAGTCCTTTTTCCAACTCACTAAATGTCTCCAATTAACTCATCTATACAGAATGACAGAATTTATCACACTATGAATACTTGTTACAGTTACTACCAATATTACAGATCACAACAGTTGTCTTGTCAGCCAGAAACAATGGAATTCTAGAATGGGAACTGAATCTGGATTTAGATTCTGCTTGTGAACTTCAATGAAGATTACTTAACTGTATGAAATTAATGAAATAAATGAAATAAATTAAAAGTTCTTAACTGTATCAGGTAGTATCGGGTTAACTTAACATCTTTCTTGGTTGAGATACACTTTAAAATAAAAAACAAAACCACTATCCTTAATTTTTTAAACTTATTTCACATGCAGAACTCTTTACCTTAATGCCCATCAGTTTTCTGAACTTGACATTTTGGTCCTTGTTTCCAAAATTTAATTTTTCCCATATTTCTGCAGACTGTGATTTATCCTGTACATATTAAAAAAAAAAAATAAAAATGTATCAGCTTTCTATTTTTTCTAATACCACAATACAGCAGCAAACAAAAAAGTTGTATTAAAAATGAGCCAGCTGTCTGACACTTCTGCGGCATCCTCACAGAAGCTCTGTAAGGAAAGTCTACTTAACCAGAGGTTTCAAAATGCAGGTCTATTCTTTACTTGAGTAGATTGCACTGGTTTCCACAAATTTTGGAAACATTGTCAGAATGCAGGCTTACCGTTAATCAAAGTACTTCTATGGAAGTAAAAAGGACAACATTACCCCTTCCTTTTTGCCTTGCCAAAGCATCTTCCGCTTTTTCTCCTGCTCAGCAAATTTCATTGGATTCACTGCTGCTGGGTTATAATAGCTCGGTACAGCTATTCCAGTCTCTGCTAGTGCTTTTGCTTGTAATGCTGCCATTTGAGCTGCCATTGCTATCTGAGGAGTCACTTGTGTCCCCGATGCCAGAAGAGCAGCAACATTAATAACAGAACCTCCAGAGGCTGCAGCTGCTGCAGAAGAAAGGGAATTTCCTATCACAAAAAAGTTCAGACAACCCCAGAAAAACATCCTTGAACAAACAAAAGATAATCCCCAAACATCACCCTTCACCAGAAGTTAAAAATGGTCCAATAACAAATGCATGATAAAATACATGTTATTTGTATCTCGTGCTTCTAAATACACCTGAGCTAGTAACAGCTTTCAAAGTCTTAATAATCCATCCAGGAAAGGTCCAATGATGATCATAAAATCATTTACCAGCTTAACATACAACATTTTTGTTAGCAGCTCATCAATACTCACTAACCAGTTAGAAATCCTGATCTTTTCTCTTGGGGTTTTGTGTTTGTTATGGGGTTTTTTGGTTTTTGGAAACATTTCCTAGTTCTATATGTGGTTTATAAAACGACCAAGTTAACAATTTAACAAAGAAAGACATCATGTAGATCTGTTGGACAGAACAACCAGCACATAAGTTTATACTATTTTCCACTCCCCCTATTGTTTAGGAATTAATATACTATACATGGACTACCTGCAGCCATTTCCTGTTGCTTCTGTTTTTCAACCATTTCTTTCTCTCTCTGTTCTTGTAGTTTCTTTGCTCTTTCCAGTCTAGATGTGCACAAGAATAAAAATATTCAGACATGTGAAACCAATAGCAGCAGCTTATTTACATGACATATAATTAAAATCTTTACAACTTCTGACCTTCTGGCTAATGCTTCCTGTGCATCCATTGCCGTATTTCTTCCGCGGAAAGGTGGTGGACTCGGACTCCGGCTGTGACTCCTGCCGAATCTTCGGGGCTTTTCAATTCTTTTCTTTCTCTCCCTGTAACCAAATTCAACAGAGTTGCTAAAACAACGAAGCTACATATATACCTTAACATTTCATCAAGTATTTGATTACAATTCTGAAAAATGACTTTATGCTTAATTTGCAGAGCTCTCTAGAACAGTTTTCAGAGATTGTTCTAGAACAATGTAAGTCACATCCGCTTTGTAACAAGACAAAGCTAGAACTGAAGATTTCCAACTGCAAGAGGTAACAAAGAGTAATTCCTGGAATTTATTACCCTCTTATACATAGTGTTTTGAACAAATAGATCTACTCTAGAGATTAATTCTAAAATCTGACAAGAAAAAATACCATGCAAGTTCTGATAAATTGAATTGCAAGAAAACAGTAAAATGGGCCAAGTTACAAGAATGTTTTAAAACCACAAAAAAACCTAACAGCACTCAGTGTTAAAAGTGAGCATTTTGAAGAAGCCTAATTGAAAAACTAGAATAGTGCTCAGGAAAATGACTACTTCTCTCCCCTATGTATACTCTTCACTAGATGTGCTTTGGACAACTGGAACCTGACAATCTGAAAATAACTCATATCGAAGACATTTTTAAGCAAAATACTAAAATCTTCAGTTCAATTCTCCTTTAGTAACCTGCTCCCCATCTCCTCCCAAGTTGTTCTTACGACATACACATTTAGTCACATCTAAGCAACAGCCACTCAAAATACAAACCTAAATTACTATCAGGAGTATTTCTCCTTGCCATGATCATCAATATCTACAGCACAGGAGATAAAGGTTTATCCCTGTTTAAGCCTCTGACACTGATGTTTTTAACAAAGAAGTCACAGATACTGGCAGCATCCAACAAAATTTACAGCAGTTATCACTCACATGTTCCCCAGATTTGCCATAAACAGTGAGTTGAGATGCACAAAGATGTGTCTGCAATTTTACACTTAAAATCTTATTACCAACGATTAAAGATAATAACTAACAACAGCCACTTAAAATGCATTCAGATAATCCATTTCTTTCCTTCGCAACTTGGGCAGCATCTACAATCACGAAATGTAGACTGAAGTTATAATAAGATGCATGTTTACATGACAAATCTGGTAGAGTACATAAGAGGTGAGACTTATCTTTTCATAGAAGATGACAAGATGCAGATTCAGGCACTAGGAAGTGACAGATCTGCATTCCTGAGATAAGACGTAATGCACGTTTCAAAGATACCTTCATTTTTCCCATGCTGACTATTGTAGTTTGGTCTTGACTTTGGTCTGATGCTTTATTGCACTGGTAAACATCAAGGAAATAAATATTTGAGCTTTTGTATTTAAGTATTTCCATGTGAAACAAGAAGATGGTGTCATGTTTTTCACCTAGCATTTAATCAGAGAAATGCCACAAAAGAACTGCCAGGAGGGTCTACACGCTCACAGAACAGAAAGATTAGTTTAAATGCTAGTGAGGGCAGATCACTTGAAAATGTGAGCTTGAGACTGTGCAAAGAACCATCAAGGGATGGTTAAGCTCCACAATTTACAAATGCTTCTGTCATAGCCTTTCATTGTAACAAATATGGCTTTTCATGAATGAGGAAATTCATTTCACAGTTGAGTTTTAACAGGGCAGGTTTCCACATCATGTTTATCTGGCTTGAGGAGAATTTTCCTTGAGGCTTGTCCCGTAACTCTTTCCAAAGGTTTCACCTAAGCCCAGAACCTGATGAAGTGTTCTAGCTACTGTTAAAAAAACACATTCTGCTTATCGTTCTTCTCTAGGACTTGTGAAACAAAAACAGTACTTAAAAGAAATTAATTCTTGCAGTATGTCCATCACTATCCAACAAAGCATGTTTCCAGTTGAAGAAATTCCTAAGTTATGACTATTTTTTACTTTTTTTTCCACATGTGCTGTTCAGGTAACTGGAATTCCACTGCAGAAGCAAAAAATCTATCCCAGAATGTAAAGTTTTCACAGAATTATTAAACACAAAATGTTCACAGTGACTTTCAAAAACAGAAACTGCATATAGTAACTGGAAATAACGAGGAACTGTGAAGCCTTACACGTCATGCCAAAGGTGACTTAAATATCATTAAATGCAAGTAACACAATTGTACCAATTGAAGACCCAGCAGCTCTACTCACCCCAGTTGAAAGTTTGGTAGAAAGTGCATGCCAAAATAAAATCTGACACAAACCATGTACTTCAACTAGTTCTTCAGAAAGGTAAGTCTTCTTAAGAGTTTCACAAGTGATGATGTAGCATTATATGAATGTGCTAGATTCTTAAGTCTCCAATCATCCACTGTAACGATGAGTAGTCATAACCAACTTCTATACCCTTTAAATACGCAATTTAAAATACTCTAGTGAAAATACTGCTAAATGAACTGGAACACTGGCAACACTTTCGCAGGAGCACTGAAGGAAAACCATTGGCATTTACACTACTTGTTTCACTTTAAATAAGTAGTAGGGGAAAAAATTCAACTGTAGTGGTCATTGTCATATTCCAGCTTACTCATTCAGAAAATCCTACAGGGCATTAAGAATGCAAAAGTGACACACAAAGAGACTGATAACTCTACACCAAAATACTGAGCAATTCATTAATATCAGAAAATATTAACTTCTACCATGAAGTGACCAAAACCTCAACTCTAGCACATTCCAGGTGAGGCATGAACCTGTCAAAAGTCCCAGAATAAGTGCTTAGCTAGAGGGTTTAAATCTGTGCACCTAGAATATAAGTTTAAGGAAGAAGTGGAAGCACCCAAGATAGGGAGAAAAAAATAACATGAAAAATACTCTCATGTTACACTTGACAAAAAGGAGCTGGTGACCAGTAACACAGAATAGTCCATTCAGACCAGAAACAGTCCATCTGAACCTTAACACTACACTATGTTAGTTCACAGACACTTTTTTAGATTAACTTTGTGGAGCTGATCAAGATTAGCTTCTGAGCAGTGTATCTGCTCTGACTGCCAGTGATTCCCAGTTAAAACTTCCCTTTTATGATACACATGCAGAGAGACAATCACAACAGTATTTTTAAGAATTGCAGAACTGATGGAGTTAGAAGGCAACCCTAGATATCATCTAGTCCAATTCTCCCACTGAAGTAGAATAACTTAGGGCACTTTACACAGGACTGTATCCAGGCAGGTTTTGAGTATCTCCAAACATGGAGATGCCACAAGCTCCCTGGGCAGCCTGCTCCAGTGCTCTGTCACCCTCACTGTAAAGTTCTTCCTCATATTTAAATGGAACTTCCTATGTTCCAACTTGTACCTGTTGCCCCTCGTTCTGACACGGAAAACTGAGAAGAGCGTTGTCAACCACACTATTCTTGCATCAAACACATGAAAGGATTAGTTGTATCTTATTCTTCTGTTTTTCCCACTTAAATATAATTTAAATATCCTTTTCTCAGTTGTGGCATAAGAAACCAAGAAGAGTTTGAACGGTGGTAACCATTACTACTCAAAATATTAAGTTACTTTCTCTCTACTTTCTCAGTCAAAAGTTCTAAAACAGTGGATACCCACAAAATATATTGTTAAGTATTTCTAACTGCTAACATGAAAACATGCTATGAGAAGCTGATAATCTGAGACACTTAAGCTGTCAAGGACAGATGTTTCTGTAAGTATATGCAAACTACCCAAGCTACCCTTTTTATCAATACAACTAAGAAAAGCCAAACACAGTTACACTGAATATACACTAACTGGCAAACCCATCATCCTTGTATACACCAGCCCATCACAAAGTTCAGCCAAACACCACCATCAAGTGCATATGAAAGTTAACACTTACCTGCTTCTACTCCTAGTTCTGCTTTTACTTCTACTTCTATGTCTGTGTCTCGATCTTGATCTAGAACGAGATCTTACTCGTCGTTTTCTCTCTCTGCTGCGAGATCGGGACTTTTTCCTATCGCGACTTCTACTACGATGACGTCTGAAACACACGTCCCAAATTCTTACATATATTCTCATGCTTCAATTCAGCTTCTACTTACGGACTTACATAGAGGTTTGTCACCACAAGGCAAAATGTATCACACTGCAAACCACACACAAAGGAGTTCATGCCTGGAACAGTTTAAGTTATAAGACTAGGAAATAAAATTGGGAGTGGAACCAAAAGCAACCACCAGCCACAACAGAGGAGTTTAGCAGGGTTTGTGTACACAATCATACACATCAATACAGTTATTTTCAGTTGTTCATTAAAGTGAACGTCACAAAAAACAAATACAAGGCCCAATTAATTTGATGCATGAGTCCTAAATTCAAGGCAACAAACTCTCCTCGTCATGATATTCCACTACCGCTGGGAAGAGATGCCCCAATTTCCACAGTCCCTCAAGCCTACCATTACCTGAAGTTTGTTCCCTGCTGCCATGTTTGCTACAGACCCCTCAGCTATGGACAGATCTGGCTGAAAAATTCTGCTGGCAGCAACCTGTCTGTCCCAGCAGTTCTCCTACCCTCAGTGTGCTAGGCGGCCTACCATGCCTGGTGGCTTAGACAGCATCATCTCTGAGCAATCTCTTGATTTAGGGGTAAAAAGACATGACTTCACTAAAGTATATTTTCTTTCCTGTCACTGAACAGACCAAATTTAATACACACAGTTTAGAAATTTTCTGTACTCAGTATACTAAACATGACACTGATCACCTATATAAAGCCTTGGAGATATTCTGTACTTTTTTCAGAACCAATCTGAAAAAAAACCAACCAAGTAGGAGCAAAGGCACTACCCAGTGGAAACCAAGGCATGCAGTATAAATTGACACTTTTGTTAAATCAAGTAATAGAATTCAGTTGTCCTTCAGAAGCCTACACAAATGCCAAAGGCTGCTTTAGTACCTTCACTTAAAAAAAGAATAATCATGTGAAACAACTTACCTTTCACGAGACCTGGATCTTGAATGGCTCCTCCCTCTTGATGACTTCCTCTCTTTGCGTTTGTGTCTATCCTCACCATTTTCAGATGAATTTAGGCTATCTCTTCCCTTGTCAGAAGAATGTTCTTTGTCATTGTGGTCTTCAGATTTGTGCTTCTTGGAGGACTTCTCTTTGGATTCATGTCTTCTTGCCTGTTTTAAGAAGAAGTTGGTTCTTTCAGGAAAATAGTGCAACAAAGAGAGTTAGTATGGGTATCAGAAGATAAAAAATGATAAGTTGTGATGCAACATTAGTAACCTTAGGAGTGTGACTCAATCATGAGTGATGGCTATTTTACCTAATGCCACCAACTACCCAAAGCTGCAAATGTACACTAGATTTTTTCCCCTCCTCCCCACTGTCTAAAACAGTGATTCCATATAAAAGTTCACAGCTTTGTAACAAAAACTGTCATTATCAGTTACTGTCTCCATTCCAAACACATAATAAGTAACTACCTTTAAGCTCCTGGCAATTTATGAATATCCATATATACACACATTTGTAGTGAGTATTTAATACTTGCCTAAGCCTACTATGTCCAAAGTTACCAAAATCCATACATACTTGCAGACATACACTATTTTACTTCTAGAACCAAAACAATTTCCTAACCATCATTAGTTAATTTTTTAATTACTCTTCACTCACTAACTTCCAACATTTTAAAAAAGCAAAGTAGTAAGTTACATGGTTGAAATCCCATTTTTAGTGTTTTAATGTAATGCACTAATGTGCATTACTTTGAGACCTCCCACAGTAGTTTTAAATTAAAGATATGCTGCTCCACTATACCGCAATTTCTTTCTGCAGTGCCTCTTAAAAAAAGATTCCTTTTTATAGTCACAATGCCAAAAATACTTAGAAAGGTCAGGCCTGATTTTTGCCAGTTTTCCTTAGAGATCAAGTCATGACATCAACACCTTTCCTAATATACCCAGTTTATACTAAAAGCTTTCTAGCACAAAACCATATCCCACTTAAGTCTTATTTTTAAATGTTTTGTTTCAATCCACAATTTAAGCATGATACATTCATTTTAGACTAAAATTCAATTCCTGAGAGGTCTGGGTTTTTTGGAATTTTTTTGCATATCTAAATCTGTTAAATACTCATAAAACCTTTCCTACAATTGTAACCTCTCCTGAAAGAAACAAGTCTGGAGAAGATGCTATGATTAGCTTATACCCACTTATCCAAGCTTTTCTAACTCCTTATTAATATATATCAATTTATAAATATATTTTATTATAATTCTTGATGTATGCAGTAATGTTAAGATTTTTTCCTGCTTTTATGGTATTTTACTCTTAAGTCCTTGAATAATCAGTCTTTAAATAAAAACACATCTCAAGCTTGAGATGTTACCTGTATGTTAATTCTACATAGATATTTACATAAGTAGTTGTTCTAATACACATATTAAAAAGAATTACTGATATTCAGTATTTTGTTTACAGACTAAGAGCTTAATCTTGCAAATGAATGAAAACAGTACATCTACCGTAGGACATTATTCCTCATCTGTTCATTCCATGAAACTTAAACTGCTAAATAAATGGTGAAACATTAGATCCTAGAGCATGGCAAAACACTGGACAAAATTTTAAGCAAGGACTGTTGTTTTTTTTTTAAACATTAAAAAGATATTTTTATTTTTAAAATCACATCTTCCAGGCACACACTTAGTAATAAACCACCATTATATCCCATAACTGAGTCAAGATATTTTAAGGGAAATATGAGTTTGAATGACTAATAGTTACCTTATCATGAAGTAGGCTTATAATTTTGCTATCTGAGTCTGCAGCGTCTTCAGTTCAGTCTCTTCGCGCATTAGCACGCTGAGTATGATTTATTATAGAAATGTTATCATGTGAGCTAAACAATATATTCAATTTCACAAAAACTCTCCTAGATTATTTTTCCTTTTTTTTTTTTTCCTCTCCTTTTTTTAAACAGAGCTTCCATTGGAATAGGGGAAGGAGAAGTTCCTGACCCAAGAGAAAATTAAGTTTCCCTCTTCTGACCCAGCCTGTTATTGCCCCACACGGCTTGAGCTTCTTTGTGACTCTTTTGATGCTCCTGGTTTGCTCATTTCACCTCTTCTCTGATGTGTAAGCCAGTTATTTTCTAGGTATGATTGATGCTGTCTCTTCTTACTCCTCTGTATACACACACTTTCATCTTAAAAAAGAGACAGCCCTCTGAGATATTTGTTCTACTGTCATGTTTCCAGCTGATTCAGCTTGTTTGTCAAACTATGACAGTCTTTACAATTAAAGGCTGCAATAAACAGAGCTCAGTCAGGTGGGGAATTCCTTTTAATATACTTAAGTAGATGGGTATGTATAATTGAAAGTCCTGAACATTGGCCAGGAATAAAGCCACCCAAGGTTTTCGCTTAATGGAAGCTCTGTGAAAGTCATCAAGAACACCATTCTACTTCTCCACATGAATTCTTTCTTTTGGCTGTTTCCACAAAAAAGAAAATAATTTAAGTTACTAGTTTTTGAAAGCATATTTATATAAAACTATTACCTTGTCAACATGATGGCTGCAATCATGCTTCACTATGAAAGGATCTCCATATCCATTTTTAAGCTTAAAGTTTCCAATTTCTTGTACTTACCATAAAGTCATTTATATAGGTTAACACATTTGTGCATTACTACAAGATGCTTTTTAAGACGTACTGTACAATTACCTAAACGCTACAAAGTGTTAATTACCTCTTTGCTTCTGCTCCGGCTTCTGTGTTTTCTTCCTTCAGCATCTGGAGAAGAAAAAAATTCCGTTATTTACCAAATTAAAGAGGAGATCAGCTGGCTATAATATTTCTAGCTCCTTTCAGTAAGCCCACCCCCAAATAGAATAGAGATTTAGACAACCAACAGCACTATTTAATATCTACTGCAGATAGCAAAATCCAGCTGTTATTTCCATTATGTTGTTTGCATTTACTTAAGCTATGACAGTGAAAAACTAGCCCATGTCAAACTCCAGTCCCATTCCTCAGCCAGGTAACATTCTATTTGTTATTACCATGCAAAAGGATCCCAGTCTAAGCATCTCTAATGAAAATTAAGACAAAGTAGTATAGTTTTCTGGTTTGAGTTGTCATCCCCCTACACCCCGCATTCCCTGAACAATGGCTTAGCACTCCAATCATTAAAATTGAGAAGCTTCAATAGAACACATTTAAGACAAAACCCCAAATTTTACAGTAGATTCCTTTTTTCCCCCCTCAAATTCTAACGTGTTACTAGAGCTAAGACTGTATTTTTTCCAAAAAAGCTTTAAAGAGAGTTTAGTTCTACAAGCACACACCAGAACATCACTAAGCAACTTCCCTTACACAAAGACCATACCTGACTTCCGTCGTCTTTCCCTTGACCGTGAGCGTGATCTTGAGTAATGATGCTTTGATGTTCTGGGAGAACTAGAGGCATCTGACTGCTCCTTTTTCTTCTCTCTTTCTGGAGAGGACTTTTCTGGGGCTACTCCATCGCGTTCTGTATCACTACCCTGCATATAAAGACAGAATATTTAAAACCCAGAAACTCAGAACAAAAACCAAGCCAACCTGCTTATTTAGTACTTCCTCTGAACACATATTTATAATTATTTTCTGTAAAGACAATGTCATACATTGCCACCTCACTATTAGTAGCCAGAAACTTTATATGCTTGCAGTAAATGATGTAACTGCATACACACTGGTATTTCAACACTTAAATAGAGAACTGAGATTACTTAAAATCAGTATTGTCCCAAGAGATCTAAGTCACCTCACAAGCTGGGGCATTACTGAGGCATAGCTCAAAATCCCCAAACTGTTTTGAAGGACAGTGTGAACTTTGAAGATAAATTAAATTAGCTGTATTGAATTAGTATTGGACAGCAAACTTTTGAATAAGGAATAAATTTTGCGTAGAGATACAAGAGTACCTTTAGGTTACATCCACCTGTCCCAACAATTTCTGTATTACATTTTTGCCAGGTGACTGAACTCGAGATGTTCCCTCCATCCCTTCTAAACCTTGAACTAGGACTAAACCCAGAAACTTATCTTGTGTAGAGCAGTCAAGACCGTTTTGTGATTCAATGCTGGGAGAAGTAAATGTGTCCAACCAGTGCAATGCAATGAAAGGAACAGTAAGGAAAACATGCACGCTGAAAAGGTGAAAGTGCTTTTACTAATGCCTTTACAGGTTCACTGGTCTCTCTTGTTGCGATCATGTAAATGGTAGTTAATATCAAACCTTCTGAATGAACATTGTGTGGCTGCAGAAGACTTCACTAAGGACATAATTTGGCCCCGAAATGCTATTCATTAAGATAATTTAGTGTAGCAGAGGACTTGAACTTGCACAGTTTTCTACCAGCTGCAGCTTTATTTGCAAACTGAACAAGACATGTGGAAACCCCTCAAACGCCAGTTTAAATATATTACTTTGTAAATGAAACAGCTAGGTTATTTTAAACCGTAACAGGTATTACAGATTGTAATTAATACATTGTGTATTAATGGCAGACATTCTTCCTAACATACTAGAGGGAAGTATTTGGATTTATATTTCAGCTGTTGCTGTTTAGTCTGCCCAATTCTTCATTAATTTGTATATGTACAAAGATATATCTAGAGTAAAAATCTTTCCTCAGAGAAATCAAGCAGCTGCTCTTCTCCAGTCACACGGTACACCAATATCCAGTTAAAATATGGTCAAAAGCCCTGATTCCTTAAGATTGCATCTGCAGCAGAGCTTGAACAGTCTCAGTGACAATTCTGAATACTATGGAGACCACCCACCATCCTGAAAACTTTAGGAAATTGGAGAGTAGGAAGTGACTTCCCTCTTTGTGATCTTATCACTCATGATTCCTGGCATTCCACATCTATTTATCATCTGCTTATCTACACTTCCCTTTCTTCCACTTCTTCCTTCTTCGCTAAGGTTTCCAAAAGACTCAGCTAGAATAAATTAAGGAATTTTCAGATTTCTACAAATTTACATTTCAAAGACACTCGAGGAAGATAAGGAAAACACTAACAGTCTATTTTCACTGGCTTTTTAAACAGTACCCAACTGAAACTGAGCCCTCTGCCACCCGGTCCAAGGCTATGAGTATCATAATTTATACACACTGCTGCTCATTAATGCCCTTGTGCACTGCACCTCAAAGAAATGTCTTGGATCTACAAAAACACAGAAAAAAAAGCTGACAGAATTCAGTGAGACTATTCTCAGTTCTTACAAGTCCATCTGGATTGGCAACAGACTCTCAGTCTCACTGAACAAGCCCCTCACCTGCTACACTTCACAGGAACCTCAAAGATAATGCCTATAATCTAGGTTCAAAAAAGTCCATCATTCTTCAAGTCCTTTTACATAAAAATTTATCTTATTCTTAACAGAATAAATTGTATAGACAAAAAAAGCATTAAAAAATCAAAATTCTTTTCCTTTAGAAGTTTATGGTCCTCTTGTCCTGTCTCACCACTGATCAGACTTTCAAGACAGGAACTTAAAACACCAGATTAAACATCACAAAGTTCTTATAGTAAATGTTGAAACGTTTCTATCTCTTTAGACTATCATGATTTATTTTTTTTTTCACTCCAGACTATTTAATAACTTTTGAAAAAAACTAATCATATCGAGTTTGGTAACTACTCTTACTGGTTCTTTAACTTAATTATGGGACAAACACCTTCATATGTTATCAGGCCACACAAGTTTTAAGTGAATAAAGCTACACTTTAATAAATATAAAGAATAGGGAGCACTATAGCAGGGGCGTTTCCTATCGATATTAACCAGAAAAAACAGAAGGATGGAGGCAAAGCAAGAAGACGCTAAAAATGGCAGGCCTGTAGCAAAACACGAAAAAAAATATCAGGGCAGGAAAAGCTACACAAACGAAAACTTGAGTAAGGCCCCATCGCCCGATCTATCCCCTTTCTCCCCTCCCATGGAACCTGCGCCCCACGGCCCCTCTAACGCCTGTCCCTGTGGCCACAACACATCTCTCCCCGGCCAGGAAATGATAGACCCTCGATCACAAGGCATCTTCGCTTCTCCCCAAGGCCAGAGGAATGAATCAGAAACTTCTGGAAACAGAGAGAGCGGGGGGAGGGTGACAAGCGGCCGCCCCCTCCCCGAGGCCCATCATGGCGCCGGCAAGCGAAGGAGCGGCGGGCGCCATTTTGTCTCTCCGCGCACACGGCTCCCCGACCCAGCCCTCCCCTCCC